AAACAATAATGGCACTCACACCATCATCCACACACCCACACCCACACTCACACCCACACCCTTGATCTGATTGAAATTTAAGTTTTCTGGTCAACAAGCACATGCAAGGTTCAGGGTGTGGATATGAATGGGCATAGATGCAGATGTGGGTGTGCATTTGATTCTCTATTTTGTAACATCCACGCCCACATCCACACCGACAGCCGTACTTGCAGCACACCCGCATCATACTCACACCCACACTAACACCCATGTACACCCATCCACTAGCACCAACACTCAACCGCTCACACCCATTCACCAACACCCACACTCACCTGTCCACATCCACATTCCTTATCGGAAAAAAGGCTCGATGTCAAAACGTCTGTAGGGGGTATAAAAATTTTTGAAATATTTTTTGCCTTTGAAAAGATATTTTCATGAAAGGCAATAGAAGATCGCTCGCTGATTTTTACTAGGTAGACTTTATTCCATAGAACAAGAACCTTTCAGATATTCCAATGGTGACTTTCATACATTTCCTATGGGAAAGGGGCTCATCTTTTGATGTTTTTCAACAAAGTTTCTAAACTCATTCTAAGAGATATCACTCTAATTTTTCATAGGGTTTTAGATTCAATAGAGTACTTCAAATTTCTGCAGGTCAAGTTCCAAGCTGATTGCTATTTTGAGAGATAGCCTATCCTGAAAATCCCTAAAATGTAGAAAAAAAATCCATTTTTGAGAGAACGATTGTGACCAAACGAAACAATTTGTGTGACTGAAATTTTAAAGAAATATAAATCTTTTACTGCTTTATCTACGTTGAAAATTTCAGATCTCTATCTCATTCTCATCAAAAATTATGAATCCCCAAATTTATCCAAGATTTCCTATTTTCATAGGTGCTATTTTTCTTAGTCAGAACCGTCAGACTCTAATATTTTGAGTACGTGCATAATTCGAGTAGGTCTACTCACAGGCAAAAGATATGTGTGTTCGTAAATTCGAAAAATACAATATACATAGGAAAATTTTTCTAATGTTCAACAATCTTGGATAATTGTGGATGTTCGCTCGTTTTACAAATACCCCCTGCCCCCACCTACACTCACATTCACACCCGCAAACCGTTCTATCGACCCATCCAGTTTGATGCTCCTAAAGAATTGAGCAGTTATGTGTTTCAAATATTAATGAGTGCTCTTTACAGAACTGTCACATCGGTTTTTTTATTATGATCCTTTCTTTTCATAATATAGTTTTCGAAAAATTGATACATGCCTCTATGATTTGCAGACATGCTCATTTCTAAGTGTATAATGTTGGATGTCTTTAAAAAATGCTTTTAAATAGTTAATAGAGTCATACACTTGAGCCACCTGATACTCTCAACGATTCACCTGTGACCCACGCAGAATCATCCGATGCAAAGAAAACAGCAACACGAGCGATATCATCCGGCTGAGCAATGCGACCGAGTGGTGTCCGTGTTATTAGTTCCAAATGGAGACTACTTCCAAGAATTTCGGACATACGGACTCCTTCCGTTTCAGTTAGGCCAGGACTGATAGAGTTGACCCGTATTTTGCGTGGTCCTAGTTCCTTTGATAGAGATTTTGTCATCGCATCGACAGCTGCCTTGCTCGCACTGTAAACAGAATGGTTTGCAATCGGTGATGTACTCACTGTCGAAGCAATATTGATGATAGTGCCATTTGTGGCAGGATTAAAATATTTTAAAGCTTCTTTACAGCAAAGGATAACACCGAGTACATTTAAATCGAAATGTTTATAATAGAACTCAGATGTTACATTTTCAATTGATCGTAACTCATAGATCCCCGCATTGTTTACTAAAATATCGAGTTTACCATAGACCTTTTTTGCTTCGGCAAAAAGACGTTTAATATCTGCTTCTTTCGTCATATCGGCTTGAACCGAAATTGCTTTGCCACCTCCATTAATAATGTCATTTACCACTTGGTCAGCTCCTTGTTTACTCGTCAGATAGTTCACAACGATAGACGCTCCTGCACGTCCGAGATGCTTAGCAATTGCGGCTCCTATTCCTTTGGATGATCCTGTTACAATGGCCACTCTTCCTGCAAGCTTGCCGCCCTGTTCATCTTCTAAAATATCACTACTTGTTCATACTTTTGCTGTTTCAAGTTTATCAATGGTGCTATGTTTTGTAAAGCTGATTGAAAATGAGTATTGAGGAATAGAACAAGAAGAGTAATCCAATGCTAGCCTGCTCATACTACCGATACTTAATATACGACATTATGTATTTTTGGATTTTTAGACTTTAGAATCCCTACATTTATATTGTAAACTAAGTTTTCAGGTAAACACAGAAATAGAGAAACTATCAAAAAGATATTTAAGTTTTTTTTCTTGAAAGATCATTGATCTTGGGTATTATTTATCTTGATTATTATCTGCAATACGAATTAAGCCTTATAAAGATAGGTAAGAGAACGTCAGCTTTATTGTTACAGTTTGCAATATTTCAGAAAAATTTGATGAAATGTTATTGATAATTTGCATTAAAGTATACACAAAAAATAGTATAATAAATCATCACACTGTTTGATAAATCGCAACGGATACATTGCATAGGATCCTAAGTTTCTGGTCATAGCATTATTTGGTTCTAACAATTTTTATCATAGACTGTCGTGAAACATAAGTGTAAACGAGTGTGCTAAAGTCTTAAACAAAAAACTAACCTCCATCCTGTCTCACAGACCGAGACAGATGTATCTGACACATTTATAACATGTTCAATAGAGTTTTGACAAGCGTATCACATGGTTCCTTCTATTCCAAGAGTGTTTGAGGGTGTCTTTTATTTTCTATGCCAATTTCATGAGTTTTTTCTGTGCAACGATGATGCTTTGAAAGTGCTTTCAATGTGATTCTCTTTGAACTCCGATAATAGTGTGATAGGGGGATGGCACTTTGTCATTCATGGTTAGAATAGTTCCAATTATATTTCACATTTTAATATCATAGGAATTATACTGAAACGGTTTTCTTGAAAACTTTTTAGTTACAGTAAACGATAGCAATCTAACCACTGAACATTGTCCAAACATGGGTTCTTCTCATTCAATCTTGGTTGTACGGCATTGATAATGAACTCTTTCGAAAAGATTGTGTGTTTATTTTACTATCAAGAGACTTAATTGTATAAAGAAAACATAGTTTAAAAATGTCTCATTCGAATAAATAAAATGTTGAGCACGATATCAAAAATGGCTCAGGTATGAAATAGCCGTAACTGCAAGAAAGTAAAGAGACTTTAAAAAAATTAAGTATTGAAACAAATCCGAGGGGGAAGGAGCAAGACTTCATCTACTTTCGAAGTCTTTGAAGTATGATGGAAGTACGAGGTACGAGGAAGTATCATGGAAGTACGATGGAAGTAAAATAAAAGTACGAAGAAGTATAATGGGATGGCAACCAAAAGACAGATGATGTATCAAGAACCGTATGGGAGTTCGCGTTTAGGTTTGGATTTACTTTAATCATATCATTTCTAATTCTTTCACTAAAAATGATGCTTTTTGAGAAAATAATAATTTTTTATAAGACTTAACCGCAGGTGATTGAAGTCGCGAAATCGGAATCTGTAGTCAGATTCTAAAATATTGTCTACTTGATTTCTTGATGAAGTGAACTCACTTTACTCACTGAGGTCAAATCTTACAAAGAATCTTTATTTTCTCAAACGATGTTTGGTTTAGTGAAAAAGATTAACTTCAAAAATTTTGAGAAACTGACTTCAGATTCGAATGCACCGAACTTATTCACCTTCCATTAAGCCTTATGCAATAAATCGTTTTTCTCTCTAAAGATCTTTTTCTATTGAAAAAATTAGGGATGATATCACCTAACCCAAATCAAAATCTACACTCAAACTCTCACACGGTTTAGATTTGGCGCATGCCTAAGTATAGCTGGGTACGCACATCAGAAGACTAGCTTTTCTCTGCTTGTACATAATACATCCAGTAACAGTTCTCACAAAATAACTTTCGGTTAGTGTCATTTTTGCGTTCGGTTCCTAGGAACGGGAGACACCATTCAGTTCTGTACTGAAGAACCAGAACAGAAACGCAGCATGGACTCCTGGAACTTTTAACGGAAGGCCTCTGAATTCGTCGAATGAAATGCAATGTCCTAACGATAATGATATTTTAAAAAGTTCCACCAATGATAACCTGTTACGAGGAATCTGAAGTGGCAATTAGTTTTTCAAAATTTTGAGTATAATTTTTCTTCTGAAGAAAAGGCTATTTTCTAAAAATAACAATACTTTCTGAAATTTCATCAAAGATGGTCAGAGTCTGAGAATTCGAATCTGTAATTCGTTTTTCAAAATTTTGAGGTTAATTTTCTCTGCCAAGAAAATGCTATTTTCTCAATATAATAAGTTTTTATAAAGTTTCACGAAAGGAAATCGGGATCGAGGACATAAATCTGTAATCAGTTTTTCAACTTTTTGAGTTTATTTTTGTACGCAAGAAAAGAGTATTTTTTAAAAGTAACAATTTATTGTAAAAGTTCAATGAACGGTAACTGAAGTCGGAGAATCGGAGTTTATAATCGGTCCCTCAAAATTTTCAGCTTCATTATTCTACCGAAATTTTTTTAGCAGAAAACAATCAATTTTTGCAAAAAATTCTTTTTTTTTAAAGCTCACTTTCTTTTCGTAAAAATATATTTGTTGTGAAGCCTCCCTATCCTACCCTAAAAAAGTGAATTTTCGTTAGAATCAACGAAATTAAGATAAATACAGGGGAAGATAGCCCATCTTCAGATTTTTCGTAAATGGCAAAAATTTTTATTCAATACCTCTTTTTTCTAAAAATTTTGAAGGCTTTTGCCGATCCTTATTTGAAAAATAAGCTATTCTCAAAAATAAAAATAAAAAGATCATTTTCGTTTTTGTAAAGGAGGAAGGAGCAAAAATGCCGTACTTCTTGTACTTCCAGACTGTGCTGAACAGTGCATCAGATTTCTTTAGCTATTTCAAGTCTACTATCGGCCTGTATTACGACATATTAGCCAGAGTTCAATCTGCGTAAGTTTATCTGGTCAAAAGACCCAAATACTTCACGATACCTCTATCTTGAAAGTATCGTGAAGTATTTGGGCTTTTTTTTGTCAAATAGACTAACATGCATTGGACTTTGATTAGTACAACGTAGCACAAATCAATAGTAGACTTAAAGTAGCTGAAGAAATACTGATGCACAGTTACGGTATAGTCTGGAAATACAAGAAGTACGTGGAAGTACGGCATTTTTGGGTGTGAGTGTGGGTGTAGGTGTGGATGTGCATTCGTTCTTCTACATGTATGCATATATTATCAATCATCATCATTATTCAAATACAATATATGGAAAACATATATAAATCATCGATTAATCTTGGACACAATAATATAGACATTCATTTATCCATCCCATTATTCACTTTTCTCTATCCTCGTATTTTTTCTTATTTCATTTCTCATTTTCTCACTTCGACTATACATTATACGACTGACCTCAATCCACTTCATACATATTTTCATTTTCCATTTTTTTTTCTTTTCTCTATACGCAACATATAAAAAATGTACAAGTTATTCACTAATCTATGTTCAGCTGTATAGACACCTCTCTAAGTGTAATTCTCTATTCTTTCTATCATCAATCTTGCTTGTACAACATGTAACTCACTATCTTTAACTTAATTTATTTTTTCTTCTTTTCTCAAAAATTTATTATAACCATTCTTTAAACGAATTGTTTAATTTTTAAGATATATTGAAAAAGGCTCATTAGGCCGAAACACGTGTCGTAATAAAATTATTATCTTAAAAATTGCAATTCTTTTATTCG